ATGAGCCTTTGTTCTGCTCCAATTTGGGTCCCCGATATATAATAATGTACAGGGCAGGCAGATTTTCCTTTGTGCCCTCTCCTGTTCCAGATCAATATGTGCCATTGGCTGGGCAAATTGTAATTTTTATTTCGCTCCGTTCCACTTGCCGGCAAAGTATTTTCGGACGGTTGTTTATTATCCAAACGCTTCAGATTGGATTTTCCGATTTATTTATCCAGTTTTGAAGTTCACCATTGAATTAGGGATATTGACGCAAAACTACATGCAAATAAATTGAATTCAAGTCAATCGGACTGCTGAAACATGTGGAAGTCACCAAAGAATCTGCCGAATTTTCCGTAAAAATCCCATCAAACACTAAATATTTTCGGCAACATTAGAGAAGAGTGAACGCAACTGTTTTATTAGCGAGGAACATGCAATTTCGAGCCGATTAGTGTGTGTGTGTGACACGTGCCTGATGGGGTGACTTTATCAAAATGCAAATATGGCCCATGGAAATTGGATGATGCGAATGAAGGGTGCAACATTGCTAATAATCGAGAATTAATAACAATTTCCCCGATAATTAATCCTGCACATTGAAGACAGATTAGAGGAAATTAACGAAAAGTTCTAGAGGCCAAAGTTGAAAAACTGCGGTTATTCATTCATTGGGGTTGAAGGGGAAAAACCGCGCAACTTCCTGATGAATATTTGGCAGCGGAAATGAGCTAACTTCCCTCTGACTTTTACGCTTAAGATAATGAAAAATCATGTTAGATGGTCGCGTTTCGAGCCCCAAATTGCATCCCCATTCTCCGTAAAGTTGGAACTTCAACAGCATTTTCCACCTGGTTCTTGTCTGTTATTATTTCTTTTACGCGAAGAAAATTCGTTGTGAACCCAACCGATAATTTTCGTCAATCAATAGGCGAGTGAATATTCATAGGTTGATTCACCTCGCAAAAGGATGTCGACCCTTTTTCCTGCTAATACATCTATTATGCCCACACAATGCATTTATCAGTTATTGGCTTATGCAGTCAGATTGAAGTCGATAACGTCTGGTTATACGGTTCCGTAAATATTGAACTAGTTGAACCAAACTATCTTTAGCCTGGTGAATATTCTCAAGTGTGCTTAATATTTAATGTGAGATTTAAGGGTCTGGATTATCGGATTCCCGCATCTCCATGTGAATGTTTGCTGGCGGTTTCAAGTCGATCTAAGCCTTGAACTAGCATAAAGTTGACAACCATAACTACTTATCACTTTTCTTGAAGGTTGCTTGTACATAAATAACTGTTTTTTTTTTGATAATATTCCAAGTCAATCGCTAGAAAGAAAGTAGGAGAAAACCCAGAATTTATCAGCAGTAAACAACTTGAAGTTTCACAAGTGAGCAAATTAGTGAATGTGGAAAAGTTGGCAAGTCATTCAGAAAATTGCCCTGATATGATTAAAGTAATTCTAAATCGAAGAAAAACTGCGGGTAATTAGGGGGGAATGGGCATGTGTATCAACATACCAATTATAGAAAACCACATTTAATAATTAATATTAAAGGCATTCCAAGGCTGGTACGACGAAAATTTCCTCCATTGTATTCGATCTGATTTGCATAAAAAATTATAGCCTGCAGTCGAGTTTCCATTAAAAAGAGTAATGTTTTGCATAACAGGCCATTGTTTCTCAGACTCCGTCCGTATCGACAGGTGTGGAGCTTGTCTGAACGGTTATTTGTCTTATTGCTGATTAGTTCCATGCTATCTTTTGTACATTGTAGTCAATTCGTGCGTTTTTTTTCAGGATTTCGTTCTAATTTCATTATATTCTTGTCTTTCCTGGGCCCCAGTCACAGTGTGAAATAAAATTTTGTTTGTACTTATATCGTTTATTTCGTTACGTTTCGGCGAGACAACAG